CCAATACCTTACAACGATCTATGTATTTGAGGTTGAAAAAATACAAGTGAAAAAATTTATGCAAAATGAAGAGAGAAGCGAAACAATGAGCCGAATTTTACAAACATCTCGAGTTCGATCCCCTAGCATAGACCGCAAGTTAGTGGGCATTGGGCCGACATGAGATCCCGGTAGACGGTATCGTTACAGAGCGAAACTCGTTGTGGACAATCCGATACACCGGTACGAGGATTGATTGCATCAACGCAAGCTGGGTAAACAAATGATTAAAAGGGTAAACAGTCCCATAGAAACTACAATGACTTACTTCCAGGTGCACGTGCTGTAGCTGTAGCTGTAGCAGTGCTTACGGTAGCTGTAGATGCTACGGTGTTTGCGCTAGTCACACTACTGCTGCTGCTACAGAATCCACATGTTTTTGGGCATTCCACCTAGAAAAGGCATTTGGGGGAGTTCTGTTTAAAAAAAAGGGAAGTTTTGCTTACTCTCATAAGCGCATTATAAGTGGAGTCTTGACAAAGGGAAACTCTCATTGGACAATCGGACGTTCCCGTTCTGGGATTCACTTTATCAACGCAAGTTCCAGAAGCTGCCGTGGCTGCAAGAAATGCACATTTAGCGCCAAATCAAGCCCAGGAGGGTTTGAAGACTCTTACTTGCACCACCGCTAGTTGAGCATCTATTACAGGTAAGTGGACACTGTTCGGTCATTAAAGTAAGATAAGCTGCATTGTTACATAAATGGGATAATGCTGGACAGTCAGACGTTCCAGTTGCTGGATTCAGCTTATCAACGCAAGCTAAACAACATGATTTTGCTCTTTTTGATAAGACAACCTACAGTAATCCAAGAGGCTCACTTGTGGTGCCACCAGTGCTAGAACCAGAGCATCTTCCACAAGTTTTTGGACATTGTTCGGTCATTACATCATAGTAAACGGGGTCGTTACAAAGGCTAATTCTTGATGGACAGTCGGATACCCCAGTTCTTGGATTGAGTAGGTCAACACATGCTGAAATTTGGGGAATTTTATGAAAGTTGCGTCTTTTTTCTAAAGGATTACTTGGAACTTACTGGTAGCAGTAGTAGCACCCGTAGCTGATGAAACAGTGACTGCAGGTGAGGAAACAGTCGTAGCGTCTGCAATTGCACAGTTTTTTGCCTCATTTTGCTAGATTTTCATATTCCTCTTCCCATTCCTACCTGATGCCAAAGTGTTTACAGATGCAACAGTGGCATCTGTATTAGGTACGGTAGTTGGTGGAATAACGCTATTGTCATCACAACATTCCTGAGTATCAATAATGCATGTAGAGCCAGGCGAGCATTGGTTGT